TGTATACACACACATATATACATATATAATACATATAAATGTATTGTATATACATATTTGTATATATACACTAATAAATTCCAGATGAAATCAAGTTAATTGTTACTAAATGATTAATAAAAATCTTGAAAGCAAATCTTAAAAGTTGGAGGACAATTTTCTTATCTTAAAATAAACAGAAGAAGCACCAAAGGACAAAATAATTTTGTGTACAGTAAATTAGATTCCTCACTAAATTAGAAAAAACATATGACCACAATTCAATGGCAACATACAACCTGAGAAATATTTACTGAATACCTAAAATTTAATATCAGCTGAAAAAAGCATGTGCAAATCATTAAGAACACCACTTTGAATTGATACTTAACGAAAGATGCAAGGCAAATCATCAAGTTTACTTTAAATGTTCAACATAATACAAAATTAATCAAATCAAAATTACAAGAGCACAGTGATGTTAATTTCTTTCTCCAAAATTGGTAAAGATTATGAAAATTATTACATTTTATGCTGGTTTGGTTAGCATAGTTAGATACAACAATTTGTTAGAGATGAGGTTTTATTTTGGTGTAACTTTTCTGGAAATAATTTGGCAATTATTGCCTATTGCCCTTTATGCCTAAAGAGCGGAGAGGTATTTCTAGGAAGAAAAATGGGGAAGTAACACATATGAAAATGCTCTCAGAAATTGTTAAATATTAGAACATAATAAATAATAATATTAAATATGAGAATTAAAATTATGTTTACAAAACACTTTTGTTTACATGGTAAATGCTTCTGTTATGTTATCAACTGCAAACATGACACCAAATTCTGTATACGTTATCAGTCCTTTAAAATATTATAATGTAGGGGTGCCTGGGTGGCTCAGTCGTTAAGTGTCTGCCTTCAGCTCAGGTCATCATCCCAGGGTCCTGGGATCGAGCCCCACGTCAAGCCCCGCATCGAGCCCTGCATCGAGTCCCACACCAGGCTCCCTGCTCCGCAGGAAGCCTGCTTCTCCCTCTCCCACTCCCCCTGCTTGTGTTCCCTCTCTCGCTGTGTCTCTCTCTGTCAAATAAATAAATAAAATCTTTAAAAAAATATATAATGTAAAAAACGGCAGTAAAGAGTATCAAATGTGTTTACCTCTGCATGTTTAGGATTATGTATATTTTTAAACATTGCATTATAATTCTTTTCCCAAATTTCTGCAATTATAACTTTTATGAAGACGCCCCTATCTTTTAAGCAAAACATACTTAACACTATCTTCAACCATGAATTTTTGCTTTTCTCTGTAGCCTACTTTCTTTTTTTTTTTTTAATTTTATTTATTTATTTGAGAGAGAGAGACATGAGTAGGCGGGAGGGGCAGAGGGAGAGAGAGAAGCAGACTCCCCGCTGAGCAGGGAGCCCGACGCGGGGCTCCATCCCAGGACCCTGGGACATGACCTGAGCTGAAGGCAGATGCTTAACTGACTGAGCCACCCAGGTGCCCTGAAGAAGGCATAATTTTTAAGTTCACATTACAGATGCGGAAATTTAGGCTTATAGAGATTGAGTAAGTTGGCTGCATAGTATTGCCAGGACTTGACAATGGACTATACTCTTTGTCTCTACTCTATCACTGAAACTGTAATCTACATAAGGAGATAAATTATACACCTGTACCCATTAAACATAAGTAATAAGATAAGCAGTAAACAAAATAATTCCAGAAAATAGATTACTCGTGCAAACCCTGAAGATGAATTACTAAACTTCTTAGGACTTAGGGTTATAGGAGGTTTTCACTTCTGGGAAAGTTACATGTTGCTGTAAGACAAGAAACTAATTCTCCTGTTGCAACAATGAGAAAACACAGAGTTCCAAAGAATAAGTATTTGCAGTCATTAATAATTGAGTACTTTTATTCTCTTCTAGGGTCCAGTTCCTCTTTGAAAAATATTAATAAATTCTTTTTTGATGCTTTTTGTGTGTTTGTTTCTGTTTTTTTTTCTTAATTTAAATTCAATTGACATATATTATTGGTTTCAGAGGTAGAGGTCAGTGACTCATCAGTTGCATGTAACACCCAGTGCTCATTACATCACGTGCCCTCCTTAATGCCCATCACCCAGTTATCACATCCTCCCCACCCCCCTCCCCTCCAGCAGCCCTCAGTTTGTTTCCTATGCTTAAGAGTCTCTTATGGTTTGTCTTTCTCTCTGATTTCATCTTGTTTTATTTTTTCCTCTCTTCCCCTATGATCTTCTGTTTTGTTTCTTAAATTTCACATATCAGTGAGATCATATGATAATTGTTTTTCTCTGATTGACTTATTTTGCTTAGCATAATGCCTCTAGTTCCATCCATGTTGTTGCAAATGGCAAGATTTCATTTTTTTGATGGCTGCGTAATATTCCATTGTGTATATATACCACATCGTCTTTATCCATTCATCTGTCGATGGACATCTGGTCTCTTTCCATAGTTTGGCTATTGTGGACATTGCTGCTATAAACATTAGGGTGCAGATGTCCCCTTTGGATAGCTCCATTTGTATTTTTGGGGTAAATACCCAGTAGTGCAATTGCTGGGTCATAGGGTAGCTCTATTTTCAACCTTTTGAGGAACTTCCGTACTGTTTTCCAGAGTGGCTGCACCAGCTTGCATTCCCACCAACAGTGTAAGAGGGTTGCCCTTTCTCTGCATCCTCGCCAACATCTGTTGTTTCCTGACTTGTTAATTTTAGCCATTCTGACTGGTGTGAGGTGGTATCTCATTGTGGTTTTGATATGCCTTTCCCTAATGATTAGTGATGTTGAGCATCTTTTCATGTGCTTGTTGGCCATCTGTACTTCATCTTTGGAAAAATGTCTATTCAGATCCTCTGCCCATATTTTTAATTGGATTGTTGGTTTTTTTGTTATGGAGTTGTATGAGTTATTTATTTATTTTGGATATTAACCCCTTATCAGATACATCATACGCAAATATCCTTTCCTATTCAGTAGGTTGTCTTTTAGTTTGTTTTTTTTTTAAGATTTTATTCATTTATTTTTTTATTTTGTTTTTTTAAGATTTTATTTATTTATTTGTTAGAGAGAGAGAGCGTGGGTGAGAGAGAGTGAGCGAGAGTACAAGCAGGGGGAGCTGCAGGCAGAGGGAGAAGCAGGTTCCCTGCTGAGCAAGGGGCCCGATGCGGCGCTCGATCCCAGGGCACTGGGGTCATGACCTGAGCTGAAAGCAGACACCCAACCGACTGAGCCACCCAGGCATCCCGTGATTTTATTCATTTATTTGACAGAGAGAGACATAGAGAGAGAGGGAACACAAGCAGGGGGAGTGGGAGAGGGAGAAGCAGGCTTCCCATGGAGCAGGGACCCCAATGTGGGGCTCGATCCCAGGACCCTGGGAGCATGACCTGAGCTGAAGGCAGACAAGCTTAACAACTGAGCCACCCAGGCATCCCAGCTGTCTTTTAGTTTTGTTGATCGTTTCTTTCGCTATGCAGAAGCTTTTTAGTTTGATGTAGTCCCAATTGTTTATTTTTGCTTTTGTTGTCCTTGATTTGCAGTCAGATCAAAACAACAATAATCAAATCCTAGAGCTGAAGAATACAATGGCTGATCTGAAAAATTCAAGAGAGAGTCAACAAAAAACTTGACTAAGCAGAAGAATAAATCAGTGAACTTGAAGGTGGATCTTTTGAAATTATCCAGTCAGAGAAGGAAAAAAAAAAGTAAAGTAAGCCTCTAGGATTTATGGGACATCATCAAAAGAAATAATATATGCATTGGAGGAATCCCAGAAGGAGAAGAGAGTTAGGCCAAGAAAGTCTATTTAAAGAAATAATGATGGAAAACTTCCAAATTTGGGGAAAGAAATGGAATTCCATGCTGACCTAGATCTCTAGGAGAAACATGAACATCCTAGAATGGGGAGGGCTGTGTGTTAATGATGAAAGAACTCTGTCATTTGGGGCCCAGGTGGCTCTACTATGGATCCTGCTTCAAAAAAACTGCCGTATGGGAGACAGAAGACCTTTCCCTATGAATTGAGGCATTATAGATTCTACAATACACAAGGGGATGCCACAAGGAGCATCAAAAGCCAAGAACAAATTGGCACCACCAGTGGAGTGGCCAGAAGAGAAGCTTGGAGACATGGGGCTGCTGGTATGTGGAACTAGGCAGAGAATCTTTGCAAGAGATAAAGCCACAAGAATCTAGAAGCAAACAGAGATTACCTTTGATAGTAAAGGCAAGAGGGTGGGCAACTGTCTTACAGTAGTTGGAAGTTAGATTCTCCTTGGGGATGGCTGCCGAAGTGTATCAGCAGCTCAGGGGTCCAAACTGGTTGCCTGAGTCATGCACAGGGCAAACTTCAGCTAAGAAGATAAGAGGTGAGGGCCAGGAGGTTAAGGGAAGTCCCTCCCATAAAAGGCAAGTGGAGGTCTCTCTGAGATCTAAAGCAGGAAATAAAAGAGTGACCCTGCCAGGTGCCGGTTCCCCTAGCCACTGCTCCCACAGGCTACAGCTTCCACAGCTTCTCCACTTGCCCCACCTCTGCCCGGATATGCCGAGGAACGCCCAGCTCTTTCCCAATATCTGGGCAGTGACGTTGAGGTGAAGGGGGGAGAGAAGTGGGCATAGCAGGTCCTGGATCTTGGAATCCGCAGATGTAGGTTGCATTTGCAATAGGTGTAGATCATTGTGCAACTTGCCAGTCTTCTCTGGAGCTCAGATTTTTGGACATCTATAAAATACAGACACTGATGATGCCACTTAACTCACAGGGCCTCAGGAGGGTACCGGTGAGATCACAGACCGAGAGTTCTACAAACTCTAGGGCAATATGTGTGTAGTGATATGATTATCAGTGGCAGGTTTCCAGAATGCAGGTGGGGGTGAGAGTAAGTCAACAAGGAAAGAGCTCTTAGAAGAACAGGGCTGGGCCACTCGAGTTACAAGGTAGGCATAAATAGCCAGTGCCTGCCAAGGAAAGGCTAGCTGGACTGGAGATCCTAGAGTCCCAGAAGAAGCAACCGTGAGTGTTTCTGTCCTTTGCCCTCATTTTGTTTTCCCAGTGCCTGGTGAATATCTCTCTGCCCATATGGCTGCTTTATCCTACTGGTGCTGCGAAGGCAGGATCTGGGTAGCTATTCTTTTTTTTTTTTTTTTTTTCTGGGTAGCTATTCTGGTCTAGGAGGTTGAAGGGTGGGGGGGCAGAGTGGGCTAATGAGGAGTGCTCTTCTGCCCCTCACCGCTCCCTATGCCCTCTGGGCTGGGGGAGGGTGGATCACTTGGATGACACCCACCCAGACCCCAGACACCATTGTCTGGAAGCCCCAGTGGAAAATGCAATTTCAACTTCTCTCTTAGTTCCTCTCCATTCCCGATTTCTTCAGAAAGAAGGCTGGTAGAAGAGAAACAGACCAAGCCTTCACGAGTCTGGGTTCTAAGCTCATCCACATACCAGCTGCCTGTGGAACATGGACATTCATGCTTCTCTCATGGCAGAAGAAGTCCACCTTCCACAGCTGTGGAAGGCTCAGAGGTGGACTTCTTCCCCCTCAGGGGGTGGGTTTCCCTGAGACATTCAGTCAAATGTTTCCTTTAAAAAATAGCCTTACTGGACTAGGTCACTAATTTTCAAGGGAGTCATTTTTCTCAATAAAATCTGAATCTGGAAGATTGGCGTGAACACTGTGGGTTGAGGGGGCTGTGGCTCTGCCCACTCCCAATGTAGCCCCAGCTAAAACGCCTCATCTGAACCGTAGGTCTGAAAACCTGTGAGTTAGCTCTCTTCGAGGCCACTTCCTGCTACAGTGGACTGTGGGGCCTTCTACGGCATCTTGAGCTGCTGGGCAGAATGCCTGTTGCCTTTTGTTCTTCCCCAGATTTGGGGTGCAGGGCCCCAGAGTTGAGGTAGCTGCCGACAAGTGGACGATGCCCTTGCTCCGGCCTGGGTCCTTGGGTGCTCATGACCGAGCTTTTGCCACAAGTCCAGCGAAGGCCTGGTGACCCCCTCCTCCTTTGCACATGTCCCCCAGGCTTTGTTCCTAGTCTCTGGAACTCCCACAAGCTCTTTCCATGCTCATAACTTTACAGTTTCTCTCTGAGAGAGGAAAGATGCCCAATATTGGAGGTGACTCAGGCCCTGTACTGGCCCTGGTCTCACTTAGTCCCTAAGTCCCAGTCAGTTGGTAACTGGATGCCCTACTGGACACCTGCTCTTTCTTATCCCCAAACTAGCCTTCCCCTGACTGAACCCATCTCACACGTCCCCTTCCACCCTGAGGCCTTTCTTTTAAGTTCTCTTAGGTTGTTGGAGCAGAATACTACGTGTCTCAGGGGCTCTCCAGCTGCTAACTTCATATCTCTGAGAACTTTCACCTGGTTTCTCTGTGGGAATTTCCTTATGGAGACAGTGTCTAGTCCAGGGATGGCTAATCAGCTGGAAAACATGCAACCACATACCCATCCTGTGCTCCGGACAGACATCACTAAGCATCCAAGACTCTGACTCCTTTTCAGAATAGTGCTGCAGACAACACAAGTGCTAGTCCATCCAAGGCAGCAAGTGAGAGGGAACGGGTTTGCCTTGTTGGAGCTAAGCCACCCACCTTAATAATACAGGCAGGGAGAAGGAGGTCCGGTGAGGGTAAAGTTTCTTTCCAGAACTACCCAATGAATCCTTCCTGATTCATGGTTTCATGAATCATGACTTCAGTGAGGAATCATGACTTCAGGGCTTCAGAGAGGAGTTCTACATCCTAGCCCTGGTGCCGAAGGCAGTGCCCAGGGAAGGCACAAGAAAGGACAATAAGGGGCATCTGAGAGTAGGTGGGTAATGCTGTCAACTCATGTCAGGAGTTCCAATTCGTGCTCTCCCAGGCCAGACCATATGCCCACCTGGTCCCTCCACTGCTTTGAGAGCTCTGCTGCTCTCAGCCCCACAGGAGGGAGGGGGGTTGTGGAGAGGTGCTTCTCCTGACCTTCAGGAGCCAGGCCAAGCCCTAACCCATGTCCTAGGACCAAGAGCATGTCCTTTCTCTTTCTGTTCATCTGCCTAGGCCATGCTTCTCCTTCCTTTCTCCATGCTGATCCTGCTCACACAGCCCCTGAGGTCACTGGGAGCAGAAATGAAGACCTATTCCCAGAGAACAGTGGCCAGCACTTGCGCCCTGGTCATGTGTAGCCCTGTGGAGAATGGCCTGCCCGGTCGTGATGGACGGGATGGAAGAGATGGCCCCCGAGGCGAGAAGGGGGATCCAGGTAGAGCTGGGACCATGGGCTCATCCTGGTGGAATGGGGTGGGCGTTGGAATTGTAACCAACCCAGAAACGCTGGATGTTCTGCTGTGGAAGGCTCAGAGGTGGACTTCTTCCTCCTCAGGGGGTGGGTTTCCCTGAGACATTCGGTCCTTCTGAAATGCTGCTTTACCAGTTGAAAAATGACTGGCTGTTCTGAGCCCCGAGGCGCCTCTCTCCATTACCAGTTGCCCTGATTCCTCCCCTGGGTTCTTCTGATTCCTCCCACCCCAAGAATGAGGAAATAGTGGGGACATGGAATTTGTGGTTCTCCAGAACCCGGCTCCAGGGACTTAACAGTTGATCCTCCAGATTAAATGGTGTCTGTGCAGGGAGATAAATATTTTTATTTATTTATCTATTTATTTATCTATCTATCTATTTATTTATTTATTTTAAAGATTTTTATTTATTTATTTGAGAGAGAGAGAATGAGAGACAGAGAGCACGAGAGGGAAGAGGGTCAGAGGGAGAAGCAGACTCCCCGCTGAGCAGGGAGCCCAACGCGGGACTCGATCCCGGGACTCCAGGATCATGACCTGAGCCGAAGGCAGTCTCTTAACCAACTGAGCCACCCAGGCGCCCGATAAATATTTTTAATACTGCATGAAGAATGGGAAAGAAGGAGGCTCGGTGGCCCCAGACTTAGGTCTGATCAAAAGGATTTACCTTAATACCTTACAGAGAGAATGAAAGGGAGCTCACATTTCTTTCTCCAGCCTTGTGCTTGGGCATCACTGAGTAATTCATTTAACCCTACCAAATATTTCACAAGGAACAACATATGACTCACATTTGGCGGGTGAGAACATGGTGACGCAGAAAGGCCAAATGACACCCAATGTGGAGGGGAAAAGACACGGCCTTGTGCATCAGACAGATCTGTGCCAGACAGCTAGCTCCATCTCCACAGCAGGGACCCACCTTGGGACAAGCCAGTGTCCCCGAGTCTCAGGGTGCGCATCTATAAATGGGAATAGTATCGACCACACAGTGTTGAATAACTGAGCCAAGGTTTTACTTTTTTGTTAAGTTGTCAAGATCAAGGTGCATGTTCCTGCTGGCCCGATCAGGTGAATTCTCCTGAGGTTCCCAAAGGTACTGATTATTAAGGGAATTATTTGAGTCTCAGTGGCAAGGCGTCAGCATTCAGTGAACCAACAACTAAGACAAGGGACCCACAGGCGCTGGGCTACGGCTATGGTGGGATCTACTGTGCTCTTTATCGTTCAGGAGTTTGCATTTTGGTTGGAGAGGAAGGAAACTAACAACATTTAAGCTAGCAAGAACGGGTAACATCTCCAGGCTTTGTAGGGTAAGGGACAAGTGAGTATCTATCTGTCCATCCTTTACAGACAGAAAGTGGCTCCCAACGTGAATGGCCTGGGGCTTGGGGAAGGCCACCTAGAAGGGAACTCAGAAGAAGGGTGGTATTCAGGGTGTCAGCATCTTGGAGAATCCCCGATCTCTCCAACTCTCAGAGGGGCCCTGAATTAAATTCCAGGGGTCCCCTTTCCTACAGTTGCCCTGTGACCCCGCAGCATGTGCGGTGGGTGTCTTTTTTATGATAATCACCTGTGACCAACAAAGAATAACCAGAAGGAAATAAGCCATTGAAGGTGTTAGCACTAGTCCTTGCTCAATGCTGATATAGAGAGGATAAAAGGATTTAAGGTCCCTGGTTATCTGTCTATAAAAGACCAACCCTAAATGCCCTCAGTGGCGGGACCCGTCTCACTCCTGAGAGCTTTTTTCTGTATCCTTGCTTAATAAACTTCTATTGCTTTACTCACAAAAAAAAAAAAAAGAAAGAAAGAAAGAAAAAGAAAAAAGATCTACTCTCTGAGCAACTTTCACTATACAATACAGAGTTATTAACCCTAGTTGCCATGCTGTACATGACATCCCCAGAACTTATTTTACAACTGGACATTTGTATCTTTTGACCACCGTGAGCCATTCTGTCCACTTCCCAAGCCCATCTCTGGCAATCACCAATCTGTTCTCTGTATCTGTGAGTTTGTTGTTTTTGTTTGTTGGTTAGCTTGTCTGTTTAGACGCCACATATAAATGAGATCATATGGGATTTGTCTTTCTCTGTCTGACTTAATTTCATCTAGCGTAATGCCCCCAAAGTCCATCCATGTTGTTGCAAATGGCAAGATTTTGTTCTTTGTTATGGCTGAGGAATATTCCATCATATATACACCTGCATTTTCTCCATCCATTCATTCATCAGTGGACGCCTAGGCTCTAAGCTGTCTCCATGTCTTGGCTACTGTAAACAATGCCGCAATGAACATGGGGGTGCAGATATCTTTTTGAATTAGTGTTCTTGCTTCCTTTAGATAAATACCCAGAAGGGGAATTGCTGGATCATATAGTAATTCTACCTTTAATTTTTTGAGGAACCTTCATTCTGTTTCCCACAGTGGCTGCACCGATTTACGTTCCCACCAACAGTGCACAGGGGTTTCCTTTTCTCCACATCCTGGCCAACGCTTGTTATCGCTTGTCTTTTTTGATAATAACCATTCTAACAGGAGTGAGGTGGTATCTCATTGTGGTTTTGATTTGCAGTTCCCTGATGATTAGTGCCAGCTGTCATTTCTGATAGAAACTTTGGTTCTGGGAAGGGGAAAACAAGGAGTCCATGATCAAGGGTAAATGCTTACAGATTGCCGGCTGTAAATACCGTGGACAAGCCAAGTCAGATGGGTCTTGGCTTGAATCCACAGCCAACTCTGGCTGGCCTGTTTTCTCACCTGTAAAATGGGGATGGGGACACCCATTTCCTGGATCACCACTGGACCAAGGAGTGTGGAGATGGAATGTCTCTTCAAGTAGAACCTTGAAGGTGTGCAAGGGGCCTGACATTAGAGGCACCTGGCTCCTGCTGGGCCCAAGGCCAGGTTTATACCCATTTCTTCTGCCGCTACAGGTTTGCCAGGAGCTGTAGGGAGAGCCGGGATGCCTGGACCAGCTGGCCCCGTTGGGCCCAAAGGGGACAATGGCTCTGAGGGAGAGCCTGGACCAAAGGGAGACTCTGGACCATCTGGTGAGCAGCTGGGCACGGAGTTCGGCTGTCTGCAGGTGCTGCTGCCGTCCCTGGGATTTACCGGTGGACATGCACAGATTCCATCCCGGGGAGAAGGAAGAAGGTTGTTGTGAAGGCGGCACTGGGTTATCTCAGAGACGCCTGGGAAATACTACTGCTGCCTCTCTCACCTCTATCATTGCTCTTGCCTTTTCATGTGCTCCCCCCGCCAACAAGGTTTAGCGCCCCTGACCAGGCTGGTCCTTTGCCCTAGGACCTCCGGGACCTCGAGGCGTGCCTGGTTCAGCTGGCAGAGAGGGTCCATCAGGGAAGCAGGGGAACATAGGTCCTGAAGGCCCACCTGGCCCTAAAGGAGAGGCCGGGCCCAAAGGTAGGTGGTCGGTACGCGGCCGGTCTGGGAGGGAGAGGGGAGGAGTATGGTGGCAGTCCGGGATGGGACCTCAGGCAGCAAGCTCAGAGGGCCAGGAAAAGCCCAGACGGCCAGCGCTGGGTAGGCCGCATCGTTGCCCCTTCCTCCCCCCCCATTCCCACACTGGTGGCGTTTTCCTGTTCGCCTCCCTGGAGGAAGCCCCGTAAGGGGCACCTTCTCCCCAGTTGTCTCTCTCCCCCTGGAGCGGTGGGTGAAAACTCCAGGACTGAACACACTTTCAGCAACATTTGTCCCAATTGGTTGCTTCCTCAGGAGAAGCGGGTGTGGCCGGCAAGCCAGGCTCTGCGGGGACACAAGGTCCCACAGGTGTTAAAGGAGAGAGAGGTGCCCCGGGTGAGCGTGGAGCCCCTGGGAATGCCGGGGCAGCAGGTGAGTGATGGGAGGGACCAGGGCCGGGCTCCGGTTCCCCTGTGTCCTCCTGGTGCTGCCAATGGCCATCTCTCCACCACTGCCACTCGTCACGTCAGAGCTGGTGTGACAGGGCGGTGGAGGGAGAGTCTATGTCCAAGGAGGGTGACTGCTGGGCTCTGGGAGCCGTCTGCGTGGAGGGAGAGTGACACGTGAGCAACAGGGCTAGTCGATGTCCCGGAGAGGTGGGTCTTTGGGTGATGGGACAGTCAGCGTGCGGAGAGGGTGCACGGCTGAGTTCTGGGAACAGTCTGTATAGGGGAAGGGGGACCGTAGGCCAGTTGGACGGTCCATGTACTGGGAGGCTGAAAATGCTGGAAAACGTGTACAGAGCTCACCCAGCTCTTCTTCTGTGATCCCAGGACCTGCTGGAGCCATGGGTCCACCGGGACCTCCAGGTGCCAAAGGGCCCCCAGGACTGAAGGGGGACAGAGGTGCTCCTGGGGAAAAAGGAACGAAGGGAGAGAGTGGGCTTCCAGGTAAGGTGGCATCTGCCAGATTTGGGAGTCCCCACAGGGTGGGGACAGGGGGAGGAAGGTGGTGCTCTTATCTATCAGGACAGCCTATCCTCTCAGACTTCGGCCCCATTAATCATGGGGAGTGGTGGGAAGCAGGAAAGCTAACAGGCAGGAAGGCAGGAGAATTAGGCTCTGGTTTTAGACTTACTGGAGGACAACCCTGGGTGGCTTTTCCATCTGATCACTGGGGAAATCATAGCCCTCTTCCCGATTCAAAACATAGTTTGAGTATCAAATAACCCAATGGATGGGAAGTATTCCTATCCCCCCAAAAGGAGGTGCTATGGGATCCCCAGAATTTGGAGTTCAAATGTCATGTGGTTAGTGTCCGTGAGATGCAGGGACCTGCTTGTGGGACACTTGTTCATAGCAGAACCACAGGAAATCTGGGAGCAACAGGGGCCAGTTATCTTAGCCCACCCCAAGTATGTGCCTGCGGCTGGGCACCCTTCCCTTGAGGCCTAGGCTCTGAGCTGATCCCAGGATATGCTGGGCTTACCTTCCCTCGGCCTCTCTCTTCGGCAGACATCACTGCTCTGAGGCGGCAGGTGGAGGCCTTACATGCACAGGTACAACACCTCCAGAATGCCTTCTCTCAGTATAGGAAAGGTAAGTTCCTGGGACTGAACGGAGCCAGGCACCAAGGCTAGGCCCCCCACTGGATCTGGGCCTTGGTTTGGCATTGGCTGGGCTTGGGTCTAGGATTAGAATGGGTTGGGACCATATTTAGGGCTGGACCTGGCTCTGGGGCAAGGTCTGGGGCTGAGAATAGGGCTGGGACAGAGCATACTTCAGGATCTGCAAGTAGATACAAGAGGCAAATAGGAGGATGGGGCCCTATCGCCGGTTTAATGGGGTGACAGAAGTATGGTAGACATTATCAGGCTCTAGGATGCCCCCAACATCACAGCCACCTGTGACCCAGTCAGTGTCCTAAACCCTGCCTACCCCGTGTTGGTCCCTGTGATAGACAGCAGACACGCAGCCCGGGATGTGTTCCTAACATCTGTAGGGCCCTGTGTGTGAGTGCCCAGAGACGTTGCTTCACGGCCCAAGGCAGCAGAGAATCCAGACACTGTCCTGAGAGCTGCGGCTCGGATGCTGCCCTTGGGGTTCAAGGCTGTGGGGGCCTGGCCTTGCCGTGTGGCCAATCAAGTACCTCACCCTGGACATGCTCATGGTTCTGGCAGGCGGCTGGCTGCCTCTGGGCTCCAGCCAGTACTCTCCCTGCACCTCCCCGGGTGTTTCAAGCAGAGAGTCTTCCCTAACCCTGGAACGCTGCCGAGGCAAGGGCCCCTAGGAGTGCAAGCCTGAGTGCCCTGTGCCCTTCGGAATCTCCACCTCAGTCCTTGACCGCCCCTCCTGCTCATCTGCTCTCCCTGACTTCAGCACTGAGTCTGCATCACTCATCCAATCTCCCTGATCCAAAAAAAAAAAAAAAAAAAGAGTTTTCTGAAGGAGTAGAGCATAAAGGGGCCTGACTGGGTAAGACACAGGGTTGTCCCCTAAGTACCTAAGTAGCAAGGAGGAGAGTTTCAGGTATTGGGTATGTCTTCCTCCCTCCACAAACATATTTGCCCATGCATTCACTCACTCCTATGCCCACTGCTGCACACAAAGTGGAACGTGTCCACAGGCCCCGGCCACGTGGGTGTACTCACCCCGCACCATGACGTACATGAGCGCAACCAGAGGTACGCACACGTAGGTACGCACATGTATCTGGATGGTGGGTGCTGCCGTGTACCTTCGCACGAATACACGGACATGTTCGTGTATGCACGTGTGTACGCACCCAGATGCAGGTACATAACATGAAGCCCCACACAGGCCCCGTCTAGGGCTGCTTCAAGTGCCATCCTGAGCCTATGGAGCATCTGTCCCCCGAGCCCGTGTTGAAGCTCCTCAGAGGAGGGCAGTGGGACTGGGGCAGCCTGAGCCTAACCAGCCCAGGGAGGCCAGGGCACAGCCCTCTCGGGAGCCCTGAGGATTTCCATGCCTGAGCCCAAAAGCCAAAGGAATGCGAATGGGATGGACTAAAAAGAGATACTTGATATGCCCCATGGGTGATGCTTTTATGAAGTGTGCCCCCACTTTAGAGATGAGGAATTAGAAGCCCTGAAAAGGGAAGTGACTTTCCTTTGCCCACCTAGACAGCCATTGCCAGGTTGGGGTGGAACCCCTGGCTGATTCCCAAATAGGGCTCTCCCAGAACCTGTCCCCTCCCCCTGCCACCGCTCAGGTGCCTGTACCCGCCCCCCAGCTCCCCGGGGAGGCTGACTGCTGGGGCATCACGCACATGGGTACCAAGGGGCCAACATGGGTCTGCAGTGAGGGCAGGATTAGCACATCGAGGCTCTCGGATGCCCCCCTTGCCCCCACCCACCACACAGCAACCCCACAGACCTGCTCTTATGCAGGGTCTGATTTTCATACTCTCAGAAACTGCCCCAACCGCCACACTGACATCTCCCCGGCCAAAGTCATTCCAATCCCCACTGACCCCAGCACACAACGTGGGGTGAAGTAGGAAGAGCAGGTTCTAGCTCTAGTGTCCCAGCAAACAAGATTTAATCCTAACCCTACATTTGGCGGGCCTGTGACTTTGGGCCTCTTACTTAACCTCCCTGAGCTCCAGTGTCCTCGTCTGTAACTGCAGCCCACAGGACCTCCTCCCAGTGTGCACTGTGAAGTCAGGGCTGCTCTGGAACCAAGTGCCTCACTTTTGTCTATCTGGTGCCCTGATACCCCACCGGGGAGGCCTGGGTGGGGGAGGGGGGCTCCAGTTGGAGCACAAAGATCTCAGAGCCCCTGAGCTGGGGCCAGATGCTGCCATAACCCCCATCTAACTCTTCTCTTAGTGGAGCTCTTCCCCAACGGCCGAGCTGTTGGGGAGAAGATCTTCAAGACAGGGGATTTTGAAAAGAGTTTTGAGGATGCGCAGCAGGTGTGTATGCAGGCAGGGGGACGGATGGCCTCCCCGCGCTCTGCAGCTGAGAACGAGGCCCTGCAGCAGCTGGCCACCATTCAGAACAAGTCTGCTTTCCTGAGCATGACTGACATCAAGACAGAGGGCCAGTTCATCTACCCCACCGGGGAGCCCCTGGTCTATTCCAACTGGGCCCCAGGGGAACCCAACAACAGCGGCGGCTCAGAGAACTGTGTGGAGATCCTTACCAACGGCAAGTGGAACGACAAGGCCTGCGGGGAGCCGCTCCTGGTGGTCTGCGAGTTCTGAGCCGCGGGGGCCGGCCGGGGAGCCTGGCCAGCGAGTGGGGACCCAGGCCCATGTGCTGCCAATGCCCCAATAAAATGGCACCGCCTCTGCCGGCCAGGGCTTCTCCGTAGAGCCGTGGGGGGAGGCCAGAAGGCAGGTCCCTGCCTTTTTTTTGGTATTTTCTTTTCTTCTTTTTTTAAATTAAGTTTTTATTTTAATTCCAGTTCGTTAGCATACAGAGTTATATTAGTTTCAGGTGTAGAATATAGCGATTCAACAGTTCCATACATCACCTTGGGCTCATCATGACCAAGTATTACAAAGAATGTAAATGAGAGATGCCTGGGTGGCTCAGTCGGTTAAGCATCTGCCTTTGGCTCAGGTCATGATCCCAGGGTCTTGGGATCGTGGGGCTCCTTGCTCAGCGGGGAGCTTGCTTCTCTCTCTGCCTGCCACTCCCCCTGCTTGTACTCTCTCTCTCTCTCTCTGACATTAAAAAAAAGAAACACAAAATATAAATGAACCTATGCTTAAGAAATTGGAATGACACCTGGGTGAAGCACAGGCTCATAGGAGGGGGTCATGCCCTTCCCCTAGACATAGAGCCAACCACTCTCTCCCTTGTTCCCAGAGACCATGAGCTCTGCCCTTTCTGGCCCTTCCTCAATGGGTCCCCCAGGTCCTCTGCCCAACACTCCTGCAGCCACATCCTGTACATAGGACAGCAGGCCTGAAAACAAAACCGCATCTCTCACCAGCACGCAGCTCAGGCTCTCGCCACGATCTTTCTCCTGTTACTAAAAAAATTCCCCAGTTCCTGGCAACTTATGAAATATAAGTCACTTCCACAGTAAGGGCAAACAACTCTCCAGCACAGAGGCCACACCTCGACACACTCACTGAGGGAGCTTAGAAAGACCTTTTTGTTTGTTTGTTTGTTTGTTTGTTTGTTTGTTTTTAATTGCAAATATGAAGAACAACTGAATCGCGCTTTAAGCGAAATAGGAGCGTTTCTTCTAAAAACAGAGAGTTGTGAATTGGCCCAAGGAGGACTGGGAGACAGCGTCTGCTGTTTCCGTGGCTTCTGCATCCTCCCCTCTTCCTCCTTTCCACCCCAGCTTCCTCTTCTTCCCACTCCCTTGACTGCCCCTGTAAGGCAAAACGTGTGTCACAGAAATTGCCACCCAGCGATTAGAAACTCTTGCTTGATAGCAATTCAAAACTCCTATGAAAATGAGTCTGTCTCAGATGCCCGCCTCTGGTCCAGTCACCTAAATCTGGAGAGTGGGTCCGCACAGGACAGTATGGCCACTGGGATCCATGCAAGGTCATGGTGGTTTGGGCAGACCCTCTAAAAGTGATCACTACCCATCCTGACACTTAAGCCAAGCCTATTTCTTGACAAGAGAGAAGGAAAGAGTGCAGCACTAAGAAATCTTCTGTGGTGTTGAAGGCTGGGAATGCTGAGACCCCAAAATAGAAAAGGCGGCAGATCTCTCTGCACCATGGGGCCACAGGGGCCTGGTTTGCTCTCCAGCACCGAGAACGAGTAAGGAGGGTCATTTGGGCTCTGTAGACACAGCTTGACTAATGCAGAGGACTGAGGCAAGCATTTCAGAAAATTCAGGCCTGAGCCCATTCCTGAAGTAGAGGCCTCCCTTGCAAGTACTTCTATCATGGGCAAAGGTCAACACAGATCTTCAACATTATCAGCCCCATCCCAACCATAGTAGCCATGGTCCCTGCTTTAGTAGCCTAGGTGCCATGTAAGGCCTGGACTGTGTGATTCTTATGATCTCAGGAGATGTTGTGACCCTCATAGTGCCAGGTGACATCATGGGAGCAGACTGGGATCCTTCCCTGTTTGGACAGGGGACAACCACAGCAGGAAGGCCCTGTTCAGTTTAACAGAAGATTCTCAAGTTACTCCCTGGTTCTCAACCCTCCTGGCACCACACCAGCCCACGTCCCGCAATGAACAGCCAGTGGGGAGACCTCTGATGTTTGCTTTTTCAGGATCCCAGGTTTCTTCTGAATTCCCTTGATATAAAAGGGAATTGCTTACGTCGAGGGCATTCTCCATCACTCTTATCTTTTGCATGTCCTTAACCCAAGGTTAATAGTGTGCTTCACTTTTCAAGTTACCTACATCTTATATACAAGAGCAGAGAAACCAGGTATCTATCAGGAGTAAAATATGAATTTATACCTCAAATATTTGTCAGGCACTGACATACACAGATGGAAATGGCTGGTCATGCCTTCATAGATGCTGCAGCCCTGCACATCCATAACATTAGAGGTAAGCTATAGAATGTGTTCCAGCAGTGGGCATTCGAGATGCTCAATAAGTGGATTAGAATGAGCAGGCAAGTCTAAAACCCGTTAACGGGGAGAATAGGGAGACATCTCCTTCTGCAATCTCCAGGCTACTCAGACTCTCACTATTGTTCAGGGGAATCGTCTGTGGCTGAAGCCTCTGGATGGCTAATAGCAGGTGTTTTGTAGATGCTACTGTTTTTCACCAATATTTCAATGAGGGAGGCCTTATGAAGACAGGCTTGTGGCATGTGTCACCTCTGGGAGGACGCAGATGAGGACCAGGGCACATCCCCAAATGGCCTCTTAAAAATGCTGCCGCTGTGATCACAGAAGGCTCTGGTGGCTATGAAGTTACTCTACAATCCAGCATTCTGGAAACCTGAGCAAATTCATGGAGCACAACTGCCCTTGTGGACCTAGGGGGGATCACTTGCAACCACTTGGGGTCCCAGTGAGATTTGCGGGTTGTCACTGCAGCATCGGTAGCCCATCAGTATCCGTGACACATTGAATAGTAGCCTCCTTGCCCTCCACTTACTTAAGCAGTGTAATCTCTCAGACTGCCTGGCTCAAACAACTTTTGAGTCCCAGAGGGACTCATGCGGGCCCTTCCTGAGCAAAATGGTACTTTTCATAGTTTTTAGTACATCGGCAGAATGAATGGAGTAAATATATGAAAGAGTTGAGGGAATGAAATCCTCAATTCCTACTTGTAAGTCTGTTTATAGGGCTGAATAAAGTGTTTTCAAGATGTTTCCAGGCCCTTTGATCTGAGGAAGTAGCGCTGTGTCTTTACCACCAGGCTTTCTGCCCTTTTATGATCTCCCTGAACACTGCGTTTCAGGTGTGAGTGGCTGGCCCCAGGCCAGGGCTGAAAGGTCAGGCGGCAGCCTGGGGCCAAGCATGGGCACTCTGTGACCGGAGGGCTGGCTCAGGGCAAGAAGAGGAGGGAAGAACCAGGGCTGGGTTTTGAGCCAGTCCAATGCCTGGCCTCCCGGATGCATGACCCCCATCCACCCACCGAGAGGGATGTGAGTTCGCCAAAGACTCCATCCCAAGTCCTATAAGGGCCTCATCAAGTGATTCCTAAGCTCTTAGGGAAGAATAAACATCCTAGAACAGTGAAAAAAATTTAAAAATAATGAGAATGGGGAAGCCTGGGTGGCTCAGTCAGTTGGGCGTGTGACTCTTGGTGTCAGCTCAGGTCGCGATCTCTGGGTCATGGGATAAAGCCCCTCATTGGGCTCTGCACTCAGCATGGAGTTTGCTTCTCTCTCTCTCTCTCCCCCTAGCCCCTCCTCTGCCCCCAACCCCCACCCCCGCTCAGGCACACTCTCTCTCTCAAATAAAATCTTAAAAAAAAAAAAATAATAAAAAATGAGAATGAACTTGGTCATCTTATGTTAAAAGGTTTTATAAAACTGACCTAATTAGTATGTTAGTGACACTGGAATAGAGACAATGTGAAAACCCACAAAGTCCAAACACGGGTCCAAGGATGCATATGTACACATTTGTATCATCTATGCATGATAAAAATAGAATACCAAAATAGTAGGAAAATGATGATTGCTCAGTTATTAATGATGAAGTAAATGGTTAAGCATTTAGAGGAAAAGTAAAATCAGATTCTTTTAGTTACATAAAGAAATCAAAATCAGAAGAAAATATAAGTGATGATTCTATAGTCTCAGAGGGGAAAAGAGATATCTAAGAATGATCTCAGAGAAGAAAACCCAAAACAATATTATTGATACATCAGACCACACAAAAAAGGCATAAAACTTCTCTGCCAAAAAGTAAAACCCAATGTAAAATGAAAAGTAAAATGTTGATTTATTTGCAAAGCACGTAAGAGAAAAAACAATAAACTGATGAATAATTAGGAAAAATGGGATAGAGAATGAGAAGAAAAAATTCATAAAAGAAGGAATACTGATGTCCAATAGTGTTGAAACATGAAAAAATGCACAATCTTAGTAGTAATTTAAAAAACTAAATTCAACAACAGTAAGTAGTCCCAAAATCTATGGGCTAGAGTTAAAGTTATATTCAAGGGACATATACTTTACTTTCATTAAAAAAATTTTTGAAAGCATGAACTGAAAATAATTGAACCAAGTATTCATCTTTTTTTTTTTTTAAAGATTTTATTTGTTTATTTGTCAGAGAGAGAGAGAGAAAGAGCGCGCACAAGCAAGGGGAGCGGCAGGCAGAGGGAGAAGCCGACTCCCCACTGAGCAGGGAGCCCGATGCGGGACTCGATCCCAGGACCCTGGGATCATGACCTGAGCCGAAAGCAGATGCTTAACCGACTGAGCAATACCCAGGCAACCCAGTATTCTTTTTAAAACAAAATTTCAAACAATAAAAAGTAAAGGAAGGACAAAGCAAATAGACATTAAGTGAAACTAATGAAATAGAAAATAAATAAAAATGATAGAAATGATAAGTTAGCCCAGAAACCACATTTTTTAAAGCCAAATGAGAAAAATACATCTTGATAAATCTATATAAGAAAAAAAAAAGACAAAACACCACTATGCACCGTACAGTTGACCTTTGAACCACACAGGTTTAGACTGTGTGGGTCCACTTATATGTGGATTTTCTTTTTATAAATACAGTATAGTACTGTAAATGTTCTTTCTCTTCCTGATAGGTTAATAACATTTTTTTTTCTGTAGCTTACTTTGTTA